ATATTTAGCAGTTAATATAGCAAAATCATTAGAAATATCAAGAAAAGAAGCTCAAATATTATCATCAGGATCAAATACAATGACTGTTATTGATAGTGTTCACAGTAGGAACAAAATACGGTCAAACAGAAGTCGAAGTCAAAGTTCTCACAGTCAATCTCGGTAGTATGGTAGTCCATCCCCATATTCATCTCGTGCTAGCAGTCCACATCAATCCCAATATTACCAAACGCCTAGTAATCAGTTTGGGTCAGAGCATCACCACAAGTCACAGTAATAAATGTGGGCAAATTTATCGCTACAAGTGTCCAGCTATTGGTGTAAAATGTAATTTTTGTACGAAACTCAATCATTATTCTAAAATGTGTTTCTCAAATAGAAAAAATGGCAATTGTTTAACTGAACAAGTCAATTCTATGTCTAACAATATAAATTCAGTTTTCTAGGTTCCATTAATCCCTGGTGATCTGTAATATACCTGGTGATCTGTAATATAGGTATTTCTATACCCATGTCAGACACCAGCTTCTCACAACCTACAGATTTATCATTTTTTTATTCACCTATTACAATAGCATCATGTTGTGAGGAGAAATAAATAAATATATTATATTATACATTAATGAATACAATTCTGTAAAATGAAATGAACAGTAGTGTGTTACTTTAACTAACAATAACAATACTGTTACCTTTTTAATTGATTCTGGTGCAGATGTCAATATCATGTCACTAAAATTTAATAATATAAATATTTAATAAACAAGCATTGTCGGAATATAACCGCCAAATGGTACCAAGGCATCATACACACTGTTAATTCATGGTAGGAGGCTCTTGTGATTATGAAACAAATGTTAGGAGCACATATTCCACCCCATAAAATCTATAGGAAAATCTTTGAAAGAGAGCAAGGAGAGGAGAATATCGATGTATTTGTGTGTAAACTGAGAGCTCTCTTTGCACAACTGCCCTCAAATTCTTTTTCTGTAGAGGTAGAGTTGGATATGTGTAACGGTCTGTTACATAGACGAATTAAAGAGAAGGTGAGCAGAAATTTACTCAGTACTACTTTGATCGTAGTTTTTGTAGTTACCAAAGTGGCGTTTAAACGATTTTGCCTTTCCACTGTTGATATTGAAAAGTCCTTTAGCGGCGTTGTACACTTTTTTTTTGTAATGGGTAAAAAATGTTAAACTCGCGTCATGACACGTGGCCTGGTCGAAAATTCGTAAGAAGAAAACAATAAAATTGGAAAGGTTGTTGACTTTCAATATACATATAACTAGGACGTCCAGATGGCAGCTTTGGCAGATGGCAGATTGCAAAGAAAATGCATTTTTTTACAATAGATGTCGCTAGGTGCGCTTAAATGTGATTCATGTAAGTTGATTTTTCTGAGAGATAAAACTTTTTAATGTAATATAAATTGTCATGTTTGTGTACGATAGCGCAATAAATAAATATTGTATTCTACCACATAAATGATAGTACTTTTATACTGATAATTAAAGCAATTCGTGCAAAATTATTCCCTAACCATTCCAAAATATCAAAAATGTGAACGTAGTGCATTTTTATTTTAGTAATTCAAGTTTTCACTTCTGCAGGCACTCCCGGAGTGCAACCCGTCGTTTTTTTTTGTTGACATATTTTGAGGTCAGCAGGTGCAAAATGGCGGACAGGACAGACTCAGAAGTAAATCTGCTGTAAAGACGATACGGCATAATTTTAATGTTGCCTCAGCCTGCTGCCTCGTGTTGTTTTAAACATTTATCGAGGCAGCCCTCACACGAGCCGTATTTTTATTTAAACTTTATTGACCAAAATATAAACAATGGTACAAAAGGCGGAATTAATGCTAAAAACATTCTCTCCCAGTCAACCTTTGGGAAAAATGAAAAACACGAACAGCGGTATAAAGCTAAATACAAATATATGTACAAAATAACATAGATACATATATAAATACATAACATAAAAATAATATAATACATACAAACATAACACACTAATATTTAAATATATATATATGTATATACATATAATATATACATGATGATGATTAAAAGGTGACGTATGTGGAAAGGCTGCCTGTAATCCGTAAACACTTTTACTAATCACTGCTGTATGCCGTATACCCAGTTTCATATTTCATTTCGATCAGTGGGAAAATATTTGAGTTCTAATAACAATAATAATAAATTTCAACCCTTGCTACGGTCCAGCGGGCCATTCGCCTAACGGAAATACTTTGTAAAATGCTAACTGTTCGGTTTCAAATATATTGAATGCGTTAGATATGATAACGTAACATTACATCCGCTTACCCACCTTTTCCTATCCCTTGGACGATTTTTTATTGTAATACGAAAGGTAGACAGGCAGTATCTGTCAGCTGCCTGTTACTACTACGACGCCATAAGGATCGGTCGACTTACGAAAAGCCCCGATCCAAATTACATATAGTCAGCGCGTCGGTTGTTCAACGAGCACAAAAGAACATCATCAAATCAACAGATTACGTGAAGGACAGTTAGGACTAGCTCAAGATAACATTCCTACAACATCCGGAAACTTACGAAAATACAGGCAGACCAGCGCTGCTCTAAAGGCTATCGGAGAAAACAAAAAAATCGTAAGTCCAAATCACTTTCTGTCCCGCACACTAACGCTTTCGATATTGATATTGTTATTTCTGAACGCCGAAGGTTTTCAAATACCTCACGCTCATTTCTTTTAATATTGTTATTACCAATGCAAAAGAAAAAAAAGAGTGCGAGGCATTTTCAAAACCTCAGGCGGCTAGAAATAACAAAATAAAATCGTAAGCGTTAGCGTTTTCCAAAGCATTTCCGTTAGGCGAATGGCCCCCTGACCAAGGACGGTCTTTTGCTTTTTTCATTTCTCTTCGTTGATTCTAAGAACCACGAATTTGGATGTTGAAATGGTTTAATGTTACTCAGCTAACTATCTACTGACGCTTAGCGTATTTTAGTCAGTGTGTTCTTATAATAATTGATTATATTTACATCTAAAGAAAATATAACTAATATAAAAAAAACGCGTACTTCTGCGGAAGACGGGATTTCTGCCCGGGATCCCGTCTGCTGCCTGGTCAGCGTGGAATTTTTAAAGATTTAAACATCGAGCAGTTACATGCTTAAAAAATAAAATTAACAATTGTAAATATATACTATAAATGTACTTATTTTTGTCATTTCTGAGCTTTACCGTGAACGCAGTATTTTGATGTTATCGAAGCATACACCGCCTCTGCCGATTAAATGTAGGTGGGAGCATCGGTAGGTGTAAGTCGGACTTTTAAAATATAGGTCCAATAAGATCCGGAACTTTGATAGCGCGATGTAGACATTTTACACTTGTTTGGTAAAGCGCCATCTGTTGAGAGGGAATGTAAGTCTTGTTAAGTTTAGCGATTTATATAGCTCCACATGTTTAAGAGTTAATATAAGTATTCTTCAGTGTTGAAGTTGCAAAGGACATTGTTCAGCGTCCATACATAGTTAGCCTAAGAACCAACAATCATGAAATATTATTTTCTAGGTTCGAAATCGTAAGTAAATGACTGTAAAAACAAAGATTATTGACGGACACTTCTGAGAACTTAAATTATTAGGAAAACTAAAATTTTTTTGAGGTTATGTTTAATATTCAATGAAACATAGGTCAACTTATGAACTTAGTATGTACTCAGTATAAAGGAAATTAATATTACAACAAATTCGGTGAGATTTTAAAGAATATCTATTAGGAAAAACTTGGTTAGGTAGGAATCATGAATAAAATAAAAACTGTAGTTTTGCTTCTTATTTATTGACTATTTTTCACGTAGTTGTATGATATTGTATATATTTGTATATCACATGTATATTGTGTAAATATGCAGCGTGAATGTGTGTCGGATGTTGTGTTCTTGAATAATTAAGCAGTATGATCCTCTCAGGATGTTGTAGCACAGTTTCACTAGCACTTAGTAATAAGGGCTCTTCTCTTTGGTAACATTGATGGCATATTAGATAGCCAAAATAGTTAAATTAAAGGAAAAACAATCGCAAATAAACACACACAACAGGTAATCCGAAACGAGAATGCACTTTCCGGTATATTAAACTACTCTTTGGAATGCACGAATGCCACAGATTACTACGAATGCAAACTGCCTGCACCACAACCACAGAGTAACGAGTTTTATGCCGGCCCTTCACTTGACAACAGTTTGTCCTTGTCATGCTTAATAAGGGTAGTTTTCCAATTACAGCACTAGAGCGAATTATGCGGCATAATGCTTATCGTTGAATATTTCAACTACAGCAACGCTTCGCACAATCGAGCACTCTCAAAAGTACCTAATGTTTTCGTGTGATGCGTGCAATCTACCAACTCAGTGATAGAAAATTAACAAGTGTTTTTTCTTTAAGTTTTGTTGAAAATGTTTTAAAGCTTTCGTTTCATTGTAGTTCTTTTAAAATAATCAAAGTTAATTCAAACTGTGTTAAAAACCTAAATAAGCATACCTACCTAAGCATGCATACCTAAATAAGTATAAGTATGGATGAAGGTACAAACATTGACTTAGCGCACTCTGATGGTGCATTTGAAAACTAATTCACGTTCCAATTAAGCATCATTATAATTCGGCATGGTGCGCCACTGATTCGCATTATGCTCTGTAATTGGAAAACTAAGCCAAGTGAAGTGCCGGCATTAGGAAGAAATAGTGTTTTGTTTGCAGCGCTGTCATAGATTATACACATAAAATGGTATTTATTGTCTCAGATTATTTTTTAACTTTTTAATTTAGCTTACTTAACTGGAAGTGTCCGTCACAATCTAAATACTGATAATTATCGCAAAAAATATACTAAGAATTATCATAAATGCCAAATTGGTGTTGGTTCTTAGGCCAATTTTAACATTGTCCTTTAAACTCCCATTAAGCCGAATTTATATTGAACTTTAGGACCTTACGTTATGTCCTATTTCGACTTGGCAGCGGCGTCCATCTCCTTGAAAACATAGGTAACCTTCATAATGGCCAGCCACAGGTCTTCATCCGTAATGTCCACGTGTAAGGTGAATCGTATAGTCTTGGCGTCGAATTGTATCACCTTCAATATCACGCCTTCATCATTGGGCGTTTTGCAATCACCCTGCAAGTAAGAAATTGTAACATTCAATTTCTACTGCGTTCACGTTGAGTTTGGTTTTAAGAAAATCCCGCAGGACCCTAACATTTTTCTGGGATAAAAAGCATCATGTTTCAATTCAGGGTGTCAATCGCCTAACGGGATTACTAAGGCTATCGCTATCGCTTACGATTTCTTTTAATTATTTCTGACTGCCTAAGGTTTTCGAACACCTCACGCTTATTTTCTTTAATATTGTTATTACGAAAAAAAGAGCGCAAAGCATTTGAAGCCTTCGGCGGTCAGAATCATCAATCATCAAGTCATAACTATATGAAATGTATACGATAGTGATAGCCATAGCAATCCTGTTAGGCGATTGACTACCAGGGTATGAACCACATACGTACAAAATTTCATCCAAATCGTTTCAGTGGTTTTTGCGTGATTGAGTGATAAACATGCAGAATTTCACATTTATAATATTAGTAAAATGGAGGCGTATCAGGAGCAGGGATTATTGGAATAAAAATGTAAGTATAATCAACTCTTGTCTATGGATTTAAAGCTTGGAATAAATATTTATTATTATTATTTGTAGTGTTTTTTCTTCTCAGCTCTGGCTGGTTTTTACTACATTTACGGGCCGAAACCAAGTAAGTGTCGCCGCAAACGGGCCACACGCCACAGCCACAAATGCCGCCACGAGAAGCTAGAAGCGGCTACTAAAGTGGCTGAAGCGCGCGACAGCGGCCGACTAAGGTAAGGGAGAGAGGGGTGGGGAATCGCGAGAGTGACGTGTGGCGGCGTTTTGTATCGGCGCATTAAGTGGCCGGTGCGGGCCACAAGAAGCGAGCAACGACGATTTGTAGCGTGTGGCGGCCACCGGCGTACCGTATGTGGCGAGTCCATATAAAATGTATGAAAACTATAAGAAATATGCCGGTGGCGGCGTTTTGTGGTTGTGGTCGGTGGCCCGTGTGCGGCGACACTAAGTGCAGCATGTGTTGTTATGTTAAAGAAGTGTTGTGATGACAACCTATTTCGTTTTCATCTATTTGTATGAATTTTCTGATAATTATTATTATTATTCCGTTTTATCTGCTGACATTACAAACACAGAATATCGAAAAACTACGCTATCGGTTCTCAATCTACAGCAGAAGTCTTTTACTGAATCTGACTGACTTATATTCTACTAACCTAATGGTGCAATTATATTTGGTCATTAGCCCGTACTCAGGTGCACGAAAGACATTACTCGAATTCCAGCACCCAAAGTAATAATAGGGGTGATGACGGGGTACAGTAAACAAAATTCTATTTAGTCCGTCAGTGAGATGATCAAAAACTAATGGACACGTATTTTTTCTTTGGGCAATCAACCAAAAAATGATAAATTCATAGCGCGTCAAAGATTGGGAGTAGGAGCTCGTGACGTCACTTTTTAGTGAATATTCGCCTAAAAGTGTACTCAAACGTGACGTCATGCGACTTTTCAAATCAATATACCTCTGCAATGTTTATATTAAGTGAAAAAAGAAAAAATACGTGTCCAATACTTTTTGATAATCTACCAGATAAACGAAGAAAAAAAAATTAGTCATCATCCCTATTACATTGTTTTCGGGTACTGGAACACGAGCAAACAACCCTCTAGTGAGAACGAAACGAATACGAGCGTACTCGACTCCGCTCACTTACACATAGTCGTTTGTCCGAATTTCATGGTCACACGTATTCGGGCTAAGGGGCCGTACAAGTATTACGTAAGCAGATTTATTAGAATTATTTACCCCCTCCTCCCCCTCGTCAGCAAAAGTAAGCAAAGCTATTACCACTCCCCCCCATCCTTACGTAAACATTGGTACCTATATGCATTTTTCCTTTAATGTATTCTGTTTTTTTATTGATTCATGAGCTTTCATGAGCTTCATGAGCAGCAGTACTTAAAAAGGCTTAATCGATGATGCTGACGTAATCACCATCTCTACCCCCCACCCCCCCATGTCATCAAAATAAGCAAAGCAAAGACCCCCCTGCCCCCCTATAGTGCTTACGTAATACTTGAACAACCCCTAACGATCAAGTGTAATCACGTCATTAAGCCGCGTTTAGGCTTCGCCCTGGTAACATGAGCACAGCACAGATATGATACATATCATGTTTATATCACGCTCAAATTTCAAGTTATTGTAGTTTGACAGTTAGCCATGATGAAAACTTGATATACCTATATCTATATCATAATAATAATAAAAACTCCATTTTCAAGTTGCCGCGAAAACGTTTCTCTGGACAATATGGTGTCTTACTAGTGTGTGACGTCAAACGACTGTTATTAAAACGTCAAACGATACAATGTAATGTCACTTTAACCGGAAGTTTACTTGCGTGTGACGTCATTTTAGGCTCCGCTAATCCCAAGCGTTTTGGGTCACGTGACAATAGATAAGAAAACATTTTTTTTTTCATGGGTTTTTAGTAAAATATTGTTTTTTTTTTTTGTAAAAAATAGTAAAAACTCCTGCCAATAAGCATTCTAAACACAGATGCTAACAATTGGCACTTTATTTTTAATACTTTCAAACACCCTATTAAGCTAATGTAACGTAATGGCCTAAAACAAAAAAAAACTTACAATGAAACTTGAACATATTATGTTCTTACCTGCACTTTTTTTATTCTTTCAATTCTATCATATTTCTGCCTCATCATTGATTCTATTTATGCGAATCCAAGTGAATTGTTGCCCTTGCTTGCATGCGCTTAGCGAACACGAAATGTTGCAGAAAAGCTATGAAATTCGGTCAATTTTAAAATGTCAGATATTGGTGCCAATTCTGGCGTGATTCTTTAAACTTAAAACTAAATTTAACATAAGTCTCTCCTTTTCATTCTGTATAGAGAATGACAAGGATATACTACTGTCAAAGGAGACTCGGCACTTTTCATAGAAAAAATGCTAAACTTGTATACAGTTGAATTTGGTCTCAAAATAAAGCCAAAATTATTTGCTAAATAACACTACTTTTGCCTTATTTTTAGTGCATCGTGGAAAGAAGTTATTTAATGATTAATATTTTTTGATATAGAAACCCTTTTGATGACAAACCTACGTATTTGACATTGACAGCTAGCTGCTGATGACAAATATTGCCAGACTACGTTACCCAATTATGAAACACAGATAAAAAAATTCAAAAAGTATACAACTTTGGCACAAAATGCCGGGTGTCCTTTAAGTTTAGGTTTAGAGAATCATGCTAGAATCGACACCATTGACGATTCCAGGGTTCACCGTACCAGTTAAAGGAGGTCAACGATATCTGGCCGCTACCGGAGCTACCTGGGCAACCTACTCGTGCTACCTGGACATATACCTGCTGCCTGTGTTGCAAGAAAGACCTGAAAATCGTGCCGAAGTCTACCACTTCAGGGCAGTAATTTTGGAACGGTCTTGTTACACTTATCGGCTCGTGGTTATGATTACCCACACCTTGTTCTGTACTAGCCTATGTGCCTACCTACATCTAAGCTTAATCATCGTCAGCCTATTTATGTCCCCACTGCTGGGGCACAGGCCTTCCTTATAGATGGAATAGGGAGATTGGGCCATGACCCACCAAGCGGGCCCAGTGCGGATTGGTGGGTGCTAACGACTGCAGATGTAGCCGCGACCAACGGCTTAACGTGCCTTCCAAAGCACGGAGGAGCTCGAGATAGTAAATTTTTGGTCACCCATCCAATGACCGACCACTGCGAAAGTTGCTTAACTTCAATGATCGCAGCCGAACGCGCTAACCACTAGCGCCATCGAGCTTCTCACTAGTCAGGGCACTGTCGGTTAAAGCTAACATGATTGCCCGTAGGATTGCTCGCTGTTCGAGAGGTGTCAAAATCATTCTGTTCATAGCGTTTTGTACGTCCTTTTACACAAGCAGCTTATGGATCAACTATACCAAATAAATTAATAGTTTAAAAGAAAACTAACTACACACACATCTAAGCTTAATAAATGATTGTAACTGTACAAATCTAAAGTTTTACTATCACCATCTAAAGAGAGTGTTATACTAATCTCACCTGGGTCTCAGACAGGCTGACCTGAGCCAGTCTCTCCACCACTCGGTCAGCGGTGAGAGAACTCTCCCCCGGAATCCTCACCAGCACCAGGTTGGTGTGCTGACTGGCAGGGTCCACCTTGAACGACGGCAGAAACAACCCCTCGATAACTGCCGAAGGAAACAACGCACAAAAATAAATAAAATGCACTTTTGACCATGCTTCTAATCGACTGTTATGCTGACACTTCACTTGGGTATTCGCATTTGTTATTTGTGAACTTGACAACATAATCATAATCAAAATCATTTATTCAGTTTAGGCCTTTACAAGCACATATGAATGTCTAGAAGCTACGCCATCGGTTCGTAAATCTACGGCGGGAGACCTTGTACTGAGAAGAACCGGCAAGAAACTCAGCAAGGGCTGTTTTTTTCTCCCTTTTTTACATTTACAGAGTCGTCAAGTTGCAAAATGTCTCAGAGATGATTCATGATTTTTGTTTCAAATTGTTCACCTGCATTTTCATTGCTGTGTCATACAGTACAAATACAAACAGAGTTATTAACAGTCTTTCATTATCGTGATTTATAAGGATTGTGAAGGACAGACTGATGTCAAATTGACAAATAGCAAACACGAATAGCAAAGTGAAGTGCCGACATTAGAAATACAATTCCAAAGGTCAGAATAGATTAGTTACTATCTAACACGAAAACAAAATTGGCTGAAGTCGCAATCCGTAGCTTAAAAACTGAGTCTGAGACTGTAATCTTGAAATCGATGTATTGTTAACTTCATAGTGTGGGGGCGGGGCGTACTACGGGCGCTGGATCGGCGTAACACCTTATTTGGGCTTTTTACTTATCTTGCTATATTTACTACCAGGAATCTATAGCGGGCCATGTTTCGCCCAAGAATTACTTTAAAATAAGCCCTTACAAGAATTCATAAATTAAATCAAAATATAGCTTAGTAAGAAATGCCCCTTGGTACCCAAGTTCGGCAGCGCGGTCGGGTCGGAACATGTGAAAAAAAATTACTTTATGGTGTGAACCTGTGATTTCTGTTTCATGGTCGCGGGCCCGATTTCAGATATTTGAGCGTCGGCGATGGGCCTCGGGCCGTAGTTTATCCCTGCTCTAACGCGGTGGTCTAGCGCCAGTCTAGGCACGACTTCATCTAACGCGACCACAGTCGACGGGCCCTACAAGTGTGGACGTGATGCTGTTATCCTAGCTCACCTTTAGCAAGCACCTGCGCCCGTTTATGGTCTAGCGCCAGTCTAGGCACTACTTCATCTAACGCGACCACAGTCAAGGAGCCCTACAAGTGTGGACGTGATGCTGTTATCCTAGCTCACCTTTAGCAAGCACCTGCGCCCGTTTATGGTCTAGCGCCAGTCTAGGCACTACTTCATCTAACGCGACCACAGTCAAGGAGCCCTACAAGTGTGGACGTGATGCTGTTATCCTAGCTCACCTTTAGCAAGCACCTGCGCCCGTTTATGGTCTAGCGCCAGTCTAGGCACTACTTCATCTAACGCGACCACAGTCAAGGAGCCCTACAAGTGTGGACGTGATGCTGTTATCCTAGCTCACCTTTAGCAAGCACCTGCGCCCGTTTATGGTCTAGCGCCAGTCTAGGCACTACTTCATCTAACGCGACCACAGTCAAGGAGCCCTACAAGTGTGGACGTGATGCTGTTATCCTAGCTCACCTTTAGCAAGCACCTGCGCCCGTTTATGGTCTAGCGCCAGTCTAGGCACGACTTCATCTAACGCGACCACAGCGGCCGCGGCCAGTACTCCCGCCTGACGCATCCCCCCGCCCAGCATCTTGCGGACACGACGGGCCCTACAAGTATGGACGCAAAACTTAAGTTTAAAAGGCATGGCGGTTGTACTATACAAACGTTTTATCATTAAACTAGCGGCCTATGATCTTGGAACTAAAATCACGGCTTTATTTAGTGCACTAAAAAGCCAAAAATGATCAAAATATAATTCATATATATGATACAAATCACTTTTCAAGCAAAATTTGACAGATAATGGTCATTGGCTTTCCTACTCTTATTTGAATCGCATTATAAATGATCATATTTATCAAAGAAATATTTGCCCCTACCGGGATTCGAACCAGGGCCTCTTGAGTAGGCGACAACATGAAAACCAGTGTACTTATTTATAATAAAAAACTTGTCAGCATATCAATAGTCTCCAGATTTGTTGTCTCAGACTTCTTTACATAAATTATCACATATAAGATTATAACACACTGATAAAGCATGTTACAAATATCAAATGCTTAGCATTATCAACAGTGAGTTCAGGGGTCGAGGTTGTATTTGAAGATTGTACAATTGATTACAGGCATTTACAATGAAATTGCGGGCTGAGATTTAAACCTATTCTAGACGGATGTAATCCAGCGTACCAACCAAGGTGACCTTGGTGGGAAGTTGGTTTTCATCCGCGTTATGATTTTCGGCTACACGGATGTAATCCACGCGCCAACACGCAATCGCAAACCGTCTTCTGGCATAAAGACACGTAAGCAATTGTATCATGCGCGGACTGTATTAACCGTGTTGTAGAATTGTGGGCTTTGCCTTAACAGTTTTGTGTGCAATAGCCGAAGAAAAACAACAAAAAAGAGAATGTGGATGAAGTGTTGGTAAGCGAATGATTCTCAGCCATTCTAATTCATTCAAACTTATTGGAGTTATTGGACTTGAATGATATTCATAACTTCCTAAGAATACGTGCATGCATATGTGCGCATCCGCCGACTGCCACAGCGCAACTGTCTTTGGTTGGATGTAATCCGCCGGCCAAACGGTTGTAATCCACGCGCTCAAACCGCGGATGGAAACACGCGCCGTAATCCAAGTACGTTGAAGGTCAAATCAAAATTTGGATTACATCCTTTGTCTAGATGGATGGCAACGGGCAAGGTCACCTTTGTTGGGACCCTGGATTACATCCTTCTAGGATTTTTTATGTATGAAACTATAATACAAGTTTCATATGTAAAGAACTCAAAAATGATCTCATTTTAAAATTGACACACATTACGAAATTAATTTGACATAGAAGAGTCACTGTATGTGATCAACAACCTCTTTTTAATATCCAATTAAACAGATTACTCGTCTGTTAAATAGGATTCCACTTCAACAATCTTCTAATCACAACCAACACTCGTCTCCACCACAGTGTGGCATAATTTGCTGCAGATTGTAATAAAAAAAAATACTAACTGCTCGATGAAATGGTATGATCCAACAAGCGCTGACCCGACTGGAGCAGCAAGCCCCTTACTTAAGCACACCGAAACACTAGCGCAGTCCCTCACCAAGCGAGCAGGGCTCTCCTTGAGGTACTCGCAGGCATTAAACAAACGAGCACCATCCATGTGAATAGGAATGTTGTGCTTCTGACACAATTCCGATAAACTATCTACCCATTTCAAAGGTAAAACCTGCAAATAAACAGTTCATTGAAGCAGTGATAAAGTACGCGCCACGAAAGATGAGACTTGACAAGCGCCATGCCGTGCCTCCCACGCCATTTCCGCCTCGCCGATGGAGCCAGATCCCCTTAAATCGTCTACTGCTCAAATGAAACGAAGTGGTGTAAACTCTCATCTTACATGGTGCGTATTGTGCATTTGAATTTCATGCAATCATTCTTGTCATGACAGTCCCTGAACATATTATAACATCATTATCAAGAAGATAAACAAAAGATTTTATATTCATTAGCAATTCTTTTGGTATGTAAAGCAATCTTGTTATAAGGCCTTCACCTGTGCAGTGGAGACACTAACAAAGTATCTTAAAAAGTCATATCTATGCACATTATAATTTTTAATAAATAAGTATAAATTTATTAATATATGTTAATAAAATATGTTATTTCATTACTTTGCCTCCGCAGACATTGTGTGTGTTTTCAATAGCCACAAGAGATGTAACAGGCTCATGTATGTCAGAGCCTCGAAACCGCCGTTCTAAAGCTTTCAAGTCAAATGTGCCATCAGGCTCATTGGGCAAGTTAGACAACATTACCCCTGCTAAATGAGCTGCTCCACCTGTACACACAAATTGCTGGAATTTAAATATAACTTTAATATACTACTTGTATATTTTTTGGAAAAGCATTCATATATTAACAGAAATATCATGAAGGTTACCGTTGAATAAGTGTCACCTCCATAGAGGGCTCTTCTCATTGTTTTACAGTGTTTATTAGAATATGTATGTGTACCCTTTCATAAGTTTAAGTTCCAGGTTGTCAAAGAATTTTAATTTGCCTATATCATTTTATTTAAATTTGAATTAAAAATTCTTCAATAACAATATTAAGACACTCACCAACTTCATATCTAAATATGTGACTGAGTTCTCCTGCTATTACCTCAGACCCTCTTTTATTGCAGTGCACCATTACTGAAACAGAATTGAATTTACTCATTATAAAGAAACGGCATAGACTTCACTTCTACCCTAAATTAAGTGGAAGATTTAAAGAAGCAAATCAAAGAAAGCATATTCTAATAAATATTATAACTTACTAGCTATGAGATTAGACATAGTTCCAGAGGGAACAAACAGTGCTGCTTGTTTGCCTAAGAGGGTGGCAATTTTATTCTCCAAGGCATTAACAGTAGGATCTTCGTGGTAGACATCGTCTCCCAGAGCAGAATTAACCATAGCCTGTTTCATAGCTTTTGTTGGCTTCGTCACTGTGTCTGACCGCATATCCACTATGTAAGCCATTACTGAAATAGATTTGTATTTATTTGGTCAAATAGTATAAAAAGTTAACCTAAAAGATCACAAAATGGTAAGTTTATTATGGTATATTTACCAATCAAACAGTAACTGGACTGATTACTGATAATATCTTCAGCTTGAATAGATTAACGTTTTCTATTACTGAAGTTCGTCCACAGTCACTAATGAATTACACTCATTAAACTAAACCATATTACCATACTCTTTGAACTAAACATTATTATAGTAATAACAAATAATTATCTATTTATCACGTTTTTTTTTACTTACACTTACACAGACCAATAAGAGAACCAGTTCGTTTTTATCTCTGGTTTATTTACTTTATTACTCACAGACTATATATGAGAATTACTTTTTTGATTTGACAGTAGATCGGTCTTTGTATTGGCTATTTGTAAACTTTACATTAGTCTGTCCATTTGAAGCTGATAAGGACAGAATAGTATCAAATTCACAATAGCAAATACGAATAGGCAAGTGAAGTGCCGCGAGTCGGAGCTCCCACAAAAATGGGAAATTAAGCTGTTTTCCCACGCAAACACCGAACGGCCACTTCAATCCTGCTGAAACATGGTGTTTCCTACATACACAATATTAATGTCCCCACTGCCGGGGCACAGGCCTTCCCTATGGATGGAATAGGGAGATTGGGCCATGACCCGCCACACAGGCCCAGTGCGGATTGGCGGATGCTAACGACTGCAGATGCAGCCGGGACCAACGGCTAACCTCCGAAGCACGGAGGAACTCTAGATAAAATAATTTTGGTCACTCATTCAATGACCGACCACTGCAAAAGTTGCTTAACTTCAACGATCGCAGCCGAACTTGGTAACCACTCGCGCCATTAGAGAATTATGCCAGAGTCGATACCATAATGAACTTACTACTTTTTATTTAGTTTGTATGTCTATCAGTTTGTTTTTTTTGGCAATACATTAATGTAAACAGCGTAGAGGTAGAAGAAAGTAAATCAAATTAAGTAGTTCGTTATCAGGTCAGCGCAGAAACGCCAGGGTTTTGTCAGAATGCAACAAGTTATATAATACAATATAACTTCGTTGGCTAGACCCTTGGACCAAGGATTTCTCAGCACATTCTTAGGTGCTAACACTTATAATCTTGGTGCTTTATAAGTGACATGGAGTTAACAAACACTACGTCCATGGTTTATAATACTATGTCTATGGCTAGACTCAAATATGTTTTCATTTAAACATATTTGTTTAAAAAATCCAACTGTCAGCAGCTAAAGTCAATGATCTAAAATGATGGAAGTTCATTGGTGAAATTATTTGTCAAATTAAATTTTAAATGAAAAACAACCAATGAAATGAAGCTCATTGCGAACACATATCTGTGATCCCATCATTGAAATCAAAATGTCAAAAATGCCAAACCTGAAAACGTTTGATAACGCGACTTTGTCGAGCCTTCTTTAGTTTTTGTGCTTTGAAAGTGACTATCCTTTTATTTCCAAACAAATCTAATACTCTTATCGTCTGCAGTAGTATTTAATTGTATTAATTTGTTCTTACTTCAACTTAGTGTTCAAAGTTCGTTCGAATTTTGTGAATACGGGCGTCGACCGGTCCCCGTTCATCCCTTCTACCGTAACCGTTGGTGTTCTGTCAGTCGGTTGCCTTACACTCACAGTTGCTTGCCTCGCATCACATAGCAGTCGTCATTTTGAACGGAACATTGCCGTGCGTGGTTACGGCTTAAAACTTGGTAGAACAACGCGAGGTGGTATTGTAAAGGATTCGGTGTGTTGTGAGGTGCAGTGTCGGTCGTCGCGACCGTTTAATGTGGTATCCAGTGCCGGTGTTAGGTTATCGGTTGTCGGGCCGCGCGGCGTGATTGGGCGGCACGATGGTGGACATGGATAGGAACGATCCGGAACTTCGGTACCTCTCGGTGGATAGAAACAGTTTCAACGACCCTGCTACGCAAGCAGAATGGACGCAGAAGCGGTTGGTATGGGTGCCACACGAGACCCAGGGTTTCGTCGCAGCCGGGATAAAGGGGGAACGGGGGGATGAAGTCGAGGTGGAAATAGCAGAATCAGGGAAGAGGATGTTGGTACCAATAGATGATATACAGAAGATGAATCCCCCCAAGTTTGATAAGGTTGAGGATATGGCTGAGCTCACCTGTTTGAATGAAGCTTCTGTGCTGCACAACATCAAAGACAGATACTATTCTGGACTGATTTATGTAAGTATTTAACTATTCTATTGATTGCCTTTTCAGATTTTAACTATTTACACAAAATAAGACTTGGTTGCTTTCACTATACATACATAAGATTATCAATGTAAATGTTCTGTTGAGTTAAGTAATTCTAAAAACTTTTTGAAGTGGTATTGTTATCAAGAATATAGATTCATACTAATGACTCATGCCTAAACAAACATGAAGTCATTTAAGTAAACTAATAGCTTAGTTGATTTTGGTCTAGAGTTAAGTTCTTGGTATTTTAATCTTATTTATTTAACACATGTGTAGGCTGCACAAATGTGTACTAATTTGTCACTCAATACCTACCAAGACTACAAAGAAATTGTAAGCTTTAACAAAGAAAATTGATTTTAGATCTAATTACTATTTTAGCACTTTTAATTTTACTATGAGACAATGTACTCACTGGTCTTCCTTGCAAGTTTTGCTATAAAATACTGGTTTCGTAAATATCAACTTTCTCCTATATATTTATTTTATATCACCTCGTCTTGAAAAAAAAAACCCATTTTCTTAGTTTTGTTCAGTTTATAATTGTCAATAACTGAGACCAGGGGGCCATTCGCCTAACGGAAATGCTTTGGAAACGCTAATGCTTTTGATTTTATTTTGTTATTTCTGACTGCCGAAGGTTATCATATACCTCACGCTCATTTTTTAATTATTATTACCAATACAAAAGAAAAAAAGAGAGCGAGGCATTGAAAAACCTCAGGCGGCTAGAAATAACAAAATGAAATTGTAAGCGTTATCGTTTTCCAAAGCATTTCCGTTAGGTGAATGGCCCGTGGTCTTATTTATTGAAATCCTGTTAGGCACCTTTCATTTATGCATTACCTTTCATGAATCACAGTCCCAATTTAATAAGACATGTAAGGTGAAGAATGACTGATTGCTCTTTGTGACCCCATACACATTATATCCCATATAAAAATGTTACCTTTTCAGTGAACACTTAAATGGAAACATATTATGTAGATATATCAAGTCATGTAAGATGTGAAAAGTGGTTGGTGTAGTTGCTTATTATTATATTTGTTCTAGCTAAATTTTGGTTACAAAATCTATTTTCTTAGCTTAATCACTGGCTATTTTGTTGTATTGGGGTATTTACTCTTCTTGCAATATGTTCTACTGTAAGTAGGTTCATTGTTGTTATGTTTATTACGAACAACTGTGTCTGCTCTTTAAATTATTTACCTAACCAGAAATAGTTAACTTTTTAGATTTAAACTATTAAGTGAATAGATTTCATGATCTATTGAATGTTATCACTTTTTTAAATTTGCAATGTTTAATTGAAAACGTCTTATTATTGACCTTATTTAGAATATTTTCCAAGACAATGTATTCTCCAATAGAAAGATATTTTTTATTATGTTAAGAGGGTGGCAAGCGAGGTATGACTTTTCTGATGGTGAGCAACCACCATTGCCTATAGACACTTGAAATACAAAAAATATCACTTGCAACCTTGACCGTATCGCCTGCCTGTGGTGCCTTGATACCATACTCACCGACAGAAATACAACAACACCAAAAGATAGTGTTATTTTACTATGGTCTTTTGGAATATGGAGATCACTTCCCTCTAGATCAATAAATATTAGCATATTTATATCCTTCACAAGTGAGAACTTGTGAGCAACAATAAATACCTAGATACAATGATTTTGTGTGGTGGAGAGAGTGGTACATCATCATCATCATCATCATCATCAGCCTCTTAATGTTCCCACTGCTGGGGCACAGGCCTTCCCTATGGATGGAATAGGGAGATTGGGCCATGACCCACCACGCGGGCCCAGTGCGGATTGGCGGGTGCTAACGACTGCAGATGCAACCGGGACCAACGGCTTAACGTGCCTTCCGAAGCACGGAGGAACTCGAGATAGAAATTTTTGGTCACCCATCCAATGACCGACCACTGCGAAAGTTGCTTAACTACAACGATCGCAGCCGAACGCGCTAACCACCTGCGCCATCGAGCTCCTCATCCATCGAGTGGTACATAGTTGTAAAGAATGTGTATATAGACTTACTTACTTTAGTAAGTATAATGTATTGGTCATTGTACGAGTTGTTATGGTCATCCCTTGTTCAACCACAGAAAAAATAATAAGCTTAGCTGCATCTGTATACCTACTTGCTACTTGTCAAATTAAACTGGAACAAAATGATGGATGTAGATCTAACTGCTATACTGTCGCCAAAGTTAAATAATAAAATAATTTAGATAGTCACTGTTATGGATATGGGCAGAGTGACAGGCGAAGTTGGCGATAGAGCGATTGCGATGGCGGCGCGGCGCGGGTAGCGGTATACGTAACTGGGTTAGCCATAGGACAGAGCTTGGCTGCCCGACGATGTCTAATGATTATAATTCATGAATAAGGATTACATTTAAACGGAATTTATTAACTTTTTTTCATTCCTGGCGTTTCGGATCCAATCCGTTACAGACTCGCAATACTGTACTTACCACGATAGAGACAACTACTCTATGTCCTTGATGTTTATGAGCATGTCCCATTACAGAATATAAGTCGGAAGTTTTGAACTTGAGTTAAGTTAGACACGATTGTTTATTATACGCGAGCCTGTGCCCCAAGTAAGTTTTTGCAAGCTATTATACTTATAGCTTGCAAAAACTTGGCACAGGCTCGCGTATATTGCAATAGGTTAAAGGACAAAACGGTAGAAATGACATCAATAATTATTATCATCATAATTTTGTATGTATACCCTATATACTGCAAATAAATGATTTGATTGAATGCTTCGCGCTAGACTCTGCTTTGGTCTAGCGAACATTTTGCAGAACAGTAAGCATTGAAATTGACTTTGTACATGTCGACTTCCGTACAGAAGCGTCTCTAGCCCATGCCCGTGTAGCGCTCGTCTGCAATCATTACCCTAGCATCCTCAGTAAGCTCGTGGTCAAATGAAATGGTGGTATGTGGCACTCGGCGCGTCAGACCCAGACAACCGTCACTGTGTCGGCAACGCACTTGCTGTACCATAGATCCCGACTTCACTAGTTAGAGGTCGCGGCACGTAAGGCCGTATACAGAAAGAAAGCTGGAAGCTGACCTTCATAAAGGAAGCAGATTGAAGCGTAGTTGTTTATTAATTTCAAAGGGCGGTGCCAGCGCTGACCAGCGCGTGTCGGAGATTATCGGAACTTGTCGGTGACGTTCGGCGCTTATTGGCGCTGGTCCATAGAAATGCCTGCACTGGTTACCTGCGCGAACCGGTTCCTATAAATAAGCGCTGGTAGTCTACCAGCTTTCTTTCTGCATACGGCCTAACTAGCGCTGAACAAAAAGCGGAGGGAATAGCTGCGCATGGGTACGACTGGAGAGCCAATCGGCGCAACGCACGCCCACCCGCGCACCTCGTTTCCCACCAAGACATCTTAATTTTTACTTCTGCGCAATAACGGACAGCGCTAGAGTTTCGTGCCGTGACTATATCTTCTCGCTTTCCGCTATCAGCATAGTCGCAGTCTCAGCCCGTTAGCGATGGCGCGCACAGTCTCTTAATTCCTGGGCCTTAACTTCTTTCAATGACCGTTAGTTGTCTCCGGATTAAGTAAAAAATTTATGTGAAAGCCGTATGATATTAAGATTGATAATACTAATTATATAGAAACTTATTGCGTATTTTAATTCAAATAATGTTTTTCTGCGTGACCCGCCTTGGCTTCGCTTCGGTGAAGCCTATAGTTTTTGTTTTCTGGCAAGTTTATTATACATGGAACCTTCTTCTTGAAGCACTCTTTCTATCGATGAAAACTGCATTAAATCCGTTGCGTAGGTAGTTTAAAAGATCTAAGCGTACAGACAGCCGGAGCGATATCGTTTTTCGTTTTTATCTATTCTAATATTGTAAAGAGGTAAAGTTTCTGAGTTATTAGGGGGTAATCTTTTGCTGGATCTCCTGAACATATTTCGAAAATTCTTTAACCAATAACCCTTTATTTGTGTCATAAGCTATACAAAAACTAGTCTAAGACACCTAAGCGAAGCGAAGAGAGGGCGGGCCTCTAGTATACCAGAAAGATAATTAGGGTTGATGACGTGACTGAACTTTTACCTGGCTTATTAGCTCTAGTATTCTAGAGAAATAATGTCAATTAAATTTAATGCCTCTGCTTTCTGCATATAAGTTTAGGAAATAATATCGGTAGCAGCAACCCCAAAATTCTTGTCTTGAAGAGTGTGACGATCTCTTGGATTAAGCCATAAAAAAAACTATTAGTTAGATTCGGCTGTCCGCGTATGGATTAGTGTGACGTTCGAATTCCAATTCAAGTCATGTCCTTTTACGTGTCACTTTGTATCAAAGAACGAGTTTAGTACGCTTTGTTCGGTCACGCGTTTGTCCTCACATTGTGCCCGAGTCGATCTCTTGAATTGCGGTAGAATGCTTAATCAAATAATGCAGATAATAAATTGCTTCTACGGGAGTTTAAAGGGATCTTTGAAGCTTGCTAATAAACAAAAACCGTCAATAAATTCAACATTTCGCAATCGGATGCTATTTCTATTTGTTGAAGTTTGAGAGAGAAGCTTCAGTGTTCCATCTGCTCGTGGCTTGTTTGTGTTAATTCGAACGTTTGGCCAAAGCGTTGTGCTCGAGATGAATGTCAAGGTGAGGCGCGCCGCCGGCCGAAACGACCGTAGCAGTCATTGACCTCAGGGGGGTGGAGGGGGGCGGCGGCCCACGCGAATATGTACGCTACTTGCTGCGACCAAACTCTACCAGCGTTCTGCTCCCCTGGTATTTTTACGGAATTCGAGTGATGTATGCAAGGACAGAAAACAATTTCGCATTTGGCTAACTATACTTTTGAACATTTAAAAATGTAGGTGGACGTATTCAAAGTCGATTTGTTTACAAAATGTTGCCAATCTTTCACGCAGACTTCCGTTTCTCCCGTTATAATATAATAATTATGCCGTAGGCAATTT